TTTTGACAAGTACAGTTGAACTTCTAAAATTCAGTTTGGATTATAGATCTTTTGAAAATATTTAAAGTTTAATCTTTACAAAAAAAAAAACTTAACGATAATGAGATGTTGTTGACTTATTTCAGATTGAATATAAAATAATGTACTGATTGACAAACGAAACAGAAATTCTATAAACTTCCTTAGAAACGTATATTGTCAAATTCGAAAACGCGCACACACACACACACACACACACACACACACACACATATATATAACCAGATAAATGGTTTGGGTTGTGTTCTTATGCCGGATCTTATTTTAGCTGACGATCGACAAAGATTTCTCAACGCTCGAGCATGTAATAGAAGGTGAATGTTCTGAAATACTTTATAGGATCGATTCGGCGTCAATTTCCACGCTTATAATATCGGAGGTTGGTCTGAAAAGCACAAGAATAACTGAAAATCTGAACACTTGTTAACCGGGTAGGTTTCATAATATTCACCAAATTTACCATGCACATAAAAGTATACTATTCAAGGTAAATTTTTGATATTCTATCGATTTTGTTAGTTATAACGAATAATAATAATAAATGTGTTTAAAAATAGTTAAAAACATAAAGTATGTGTAAACGCGTATATCCGTAGCCAATCGTTTAGTGTGTTTAATTTAGCTTGCCATTAATACTCAGATAAAAATGCGTTAAATTGTCAATGTATAGTGTTTGGGTGATTACAATCGACTTGTTTTCCGGCTGCTGTTATACCTCAAACGGGAAAACCGCAAATTAAACGAATAGGAAAATCCCCTCTTGGCCGAATTTAGATTTAGTTTCAGAATAACCAATCGGGAGAGTTTTGTCATAACCGTATGCGAATCCGGTTACTCATTTAAAGGAGTTTCTACTATGATGACGTTTTAAGAATCACTCGTTCAAGTCTTCGTGAAGCGCTAAAAAAATAACGAATTTTTTTCAAAATAAAATAATACACGTGTTTGTAACATTATCATGATAATGCATCTACTAGACGATGGGAAAACTAAATGTTTTGTGTAAGAACAAATATCAACTATGAAACGGTTATTCTATACAAGGCGTACCACCTATAACCCTATCCTGTCAGTTTTGCAATACTGTCCCGTTGTTAATCGTGTGAAAATGACAGTGGATTTTCTTTATCTCCGCTGTAATTATGTATCCTTGGCTGTTGGTTGCTGTCTTTATCAATAGACGTAGTATAGTCTTAATAATTGTGTCCGCTTAAAATCTCGAGCCGGTGTGTAATCGTTATCATCATTCATACAACTGTTATTTGTCTCACTACTGTCCTTATTGTTTTTTTTTACCGCGACCAAGTAGCAACATTGTGGTTCATTCGCATTTGAATTTATAACAGTCTATGCGTCAGTCTTGACTACATTAATATTACGTAGTACATACAACACTAGTAAATTCGTTATCTACATTTACGTTACAGTGGTTAATTGTTTTTATCTGTCGACAGCGTGCGTGTTATAATAATTTGTAACAATAATAAAAAAGTAATGAAAAATCCTTGCCCCAAATTCTTCCACGGACGCTGAAGGACCTATGACCTATGCTGCCATGCGTTACCGGCTTGTTTGAGGCCGTTAATCAGGTTGAAGTTCGACATGGACGAATTAATTGGATGACGATAATTAAAGTAATAATTATGTTTTACATTTTAAAATATTGTTGCTATCTAATGGCTTGTTAAATCAAATATCGTATAAAAGCTATAAAAAAATCAATCGCTCAAGAAGTGGCAGCAGACATGGAGTTATATTTGTTATCCTAGCGGAACACTATTCAGTTTTTATTTATAATAACAGCACTTGATGGAAAAATATGAAAGTGAATTGTTATTAGAGTAATAATAGTGCTTAATGATTTTTCTATAGATACATTTCCCGTGTTCGTCTCATCATGAAGAGTTTATCGTTTGTTATGAAAACTCCACGTCTATAAATAATGCGAACTGAAAGGAAAAGTGGCAACGTGAATATGATAAAACAATTATGCGTCTGCCAATTTCATCGAACAATTATTATTACTGTATATTTTTTCTGTAGTTAGATTTTCTCGTTGTATGGAATATACACTACAATACGATTACATTTGTAGTAATTTTCATTGACTCTCGTCCCATGTTTGATTTAGCAGTCTAAAATTCAAAAGTATTGAACTGCACGATTTCCAATTTCTAACTAACTATTTGCTAATATTTTTATCATGGCGTCATCTGGTAATAATCATTTTTCAGAATAAAGAAATATTATCAATAATAACAGTAATTGCACAAAATTACAACGTAATAAAATAATTATTACAGTTATTACCTTATTGTGTGAAATGTATAGCAGTGAGTGTTCTTTTAAAAACCGTTCAATCATTGTTTGATATCATTCTACATTACTCCTTTTGAAAAAAACATAAGCCAATAGAAAAAAATATAGTTCAAACTATAATTTTATCAAGCTTTCCATTACAGTAAAATAGTATCAATATTTTTCCTTTTTTACAAAAAAAAAAAAAAAACTGAAACGCCGTTTAATGGAAGAACTTAGATAGTTATTTTTTTTTTTAATCAGTTTAAATTTTATATTCACCATATTAGTATTATCAAAGCTGTACGTGAGAAATTTAATAAAAAAAAACAGGAAGAGTGAACATCATTACAACATGGTATACATAATACTATTTTCTAGGTGTTACACATAGTGTCGCTAAGGTGAACGGTTATCACCAAACTGCTGTGCATGTGCAAATGTATGACAACAGTAATTTTTACACAGAAAACCTAGTTTTGAATTCTTAAGTATGTAAGTACAAATGTAACTGTCAAACAGTTAGTCTACAAACTCATTAATACGTGTACTGTGTCTGAGTTGTGAAAAATATGATAATGGACGTAGTAAATAAATTTAAGTAAAAATATTTTAATCTATATACTAATGTTAGGCTTCATTATATTTTGTACATAATTTTTGTTATATAAACAATTCCGTATTTGGATTAAGTTTTCATTTGCATTAAGTGAACTGTAGGAGCGGGCCATTATCAACTAATACACGGGTGATTATAAGTCGCGGTTATCAATTACTAAGGTTTCAGTTAAATTAAATAATGTATGCGTCATTGTAATGAACAATAGATACTATCGAGTGTACGTTACCGGTCCATCTAGATGTCATTGGCCTTCGGTAAATACTAGTCCTACGTTGTTTTGTATTAACGGGAAGTGTATCCTTTTTTTACTCATTCAATAGTCGCCGACTCGCTTAAATTTAAGATAGAGTGTCACGAAATTAAAACGAATGTCTGTAGTGAGCGGAGTCTAAGAAAAAGTTTACATTTGGTATGTAATTTATAAGCCGCATAGTTTTAGATGCGTACGGCGCATATAAGGCTCGTCATATCTAAATCGAACTTCTGCATTACAGTTCAATAAATAACAAACGCCGACTCAGATTTTTTTAAACGCATTTAACAGAACGTTTAACCTTCGTAGCAGTTGTATTATATCTTCTAATTTCACTTTCTATCTGATGAAAATATTGTTAAACTAGTTCTGAAAGCAGGCTCGACTGCATTGGAACTCTGAAAGACCATCGTATCCGCTAAATTTTTTTTAATACCATGCAAATAAATGCATTTTATGACGGACTAAAACCTGCTTTTGTGAAGTTTTAAGGGTTTCTCTCAAAATATCAACCATAAACCAGGCCGAGACCAATTAATTTCTTGAATAGGCGTATAATATGTTTTCGTAAAAATTGAATGAGACGTGACCAAAATTGGTCTAGGTATATATACGTCTTAACAACCAATGTATCGTACTGAAATTCGCGAGACGGATTTTCTTTTTAGTGTATTTTACCGAAAATAAGACCACGTTGACCGCCAAGGATGTACTGTGGCTGCCGTTTAGTATATCCTCTACCAGTGCAAAGTATTAACAGTCTGCAAATACCGTTGATCCAATACAACTGATGTGTGCGTGCAAAATTCTGACCGTGACACGGATAAACGCGTGTTAAGATTGACCCGATGGAAGTCGGTTGCGACAACCAGTCACGACTGTTCGGTTGCCGAAGTCGCGCGCGCCAAAGGTCAGAGAAGTTCACTCCCAGGAGCCGCTTTGGTAAAACCGCCGCCAAATACATAATAATTAATCACTACAAACATGTGCTACAATACTTTTAGTAGTTTTCGATGTATTAATATAAATTATTTACGGTAGTGAGTATATTACTGAAAAAATAATAATTTATGGGATAGACTGCAAATCGTGACTCATGTGTACTAGTTAAATACGCGAATAAATGATTTTTCCAATAAATAATAATTACAACTTTAAGACAATCAGTTCTTTAATAGCAGTGATTACAGCGTTTCATGTTGATTATTTTTTACAATGTACAATTTCGATAAACGATGGAAACAGAGTGGTGAAAAAACAATTTTCCATAGCTGTTACGGAACAACTCCCTTCCAGATGAAATAAAAATAAAAACTAAGTTTTCACGGCTGTTTTACTCGATTAAATAATAATGCGATCATAGTATCTTCTTGAAGACAAAAAAAAAAAAAAAATTGATAACTATATAAAAAAAGTATAACTGTTATCCAATGACAAATGACGGTTGTTCGGTTTTCACTTTACGTTTCTAATTTAATGGCTATCTAAGTAGGTTTATGACACAAAATTATTTATCCATTTAAATTTTATTTACATTAATTTTTCTAGTAAATGTGGAATTTTTGCAAAGTAAAAATCTATTGTAATTATCAATTAACAACCATATCATAATAAGGTACTAAAATAAAAAATATGTGAACTTGAATATCAGAGACTTCAACGAACGGTTATGATGTCCAAACAGTAATCGTTACTTATTCAAATCGTCAATATTTTGTAAGTTAGTAGTAAACATCAATTATTTTTTATAATTACACCGATATTCAATTTCTAAAATATATTATTTACCGGGATGCTTATTGATTTTCATTCCGTTGTAAGTTGAACTGTTCTCCGATTTTGTGTGGGTCAGTACGATGGTGGATTGTACCGGGGCCGGTACCAATTGCAGCATGGCGACCGCCATGACGGTTAGACACACGTGGTTACTATGCATGATTTCGATGCGATTTTTAATTTAAAACTGGCACAGTCGTATGCGCCAAAAAAAAAAAAAAATAATTACCCCAAAAAGAAACACTGTAATTCTATTTAAAGCTATTTGCCCACACCTTTAAAATTTAGAATTAATTCAGAAAAAAACTTCAGACTTGAGACAAAACGCGTATTAAACGACAACTGACCGGTCGTGTAGCTATTTTTACATAAATTCTAAGTAATACTTCTTATTCCGACAGCATCGACCGAATGGCAGCGTGTGCTATTCGGAAGAAAGTGGCCCTGGTGTCGGACCAACACTCGCGAATGAACTGAATTTCTTGTTGGTCGCGATTAATTGACTAAACTACTCTCTTTTAATGACCTAACCACCGCCACAACTGTCGCTTACAGCGCCATCGTCAGTATTTTTCCTTTCCATTTCTTTACCGCCTATAATACCTACAATGATTTTACCTTCGTTTTTCAACGCGACGTGAATACGTCATAAGACTACCACCAATTCACTAAAATATCAGTGATATTTCATTATTATTATTTTAATTATGATTGTATTTACATATTAAATCAACTCAAAAATTGAGGAAAGGGTAAATTACAAAGTCGTTAAATCATGCCAAGCTGTATTTTTCCTAATTGTTTTAAGTTCAAGTACTGTTAATACAAAGTAATTATTAAGTTCAAGTAAACATTTTTTTTACAGGAGTCTTTCAAAGCGATTAAGTTTTTTATGAAAGGAACTGGTTAGTTTTAATGATCAAATATTGTAAATAGAAATGTTTAAAATGTTGATTCTAAACAGCCTATCTCACGGTGGACTTTTCAATAATGATAGTTAAGTCAACATTTTTGTATCGAACCACAGTTATACATTTTAGGTCAATTGTTGTTATATAATGTCTATAATGTTATTTGTAAGATTAATCTAATTATTTTAAATTTGGTTTCATTCGAGTTCTGTTTTTGAAAAATAATTATTATATATTTAAGTTAAGAATTAATAGCAAATAAAAATTATAATTAATTAATTATATATATATATATATAGATTTTGTAATCCTCTAGTAGTTCGATATGAAATGTTCAAATAAACTTATTTCTATGCTGATTTTTTATTTTGAACCGACACTAATAATTTTTTTTGTTGATCATTTGGTATAATTGAACTTAAGTAAGATATCTGGGCCTAGACTCTATACAATGATTGAGTTTGCATTTCTCTCTTCGGCGTTTAATTGTTATTGTACCAAGAGAGCACTGAGTTTGTCAGTAGCAATTAACAATGATTAGTTATTCACATTCTTCAAGTTCTCACATTTTGCTTAGGTTATAATATTTTTCGGAACAAGCATATTATATTATTCTAGTAGAAAGTGATCCAAAATACTTTCGAAAAATTAATAATATCGATTAGTAGTACTCATAAATCATAACTTTATTTAAGTACATCACTGCAAGTACTTCACTTAAAAATAAATTTCTTTACAAGTTACATTCATTGAGTTACTTCTTAAACAAATGTCGAACTAAACGTAGTGTCTGTAAGCTTACTATTTTCCTTTAAGTCTTATATGAATATGAACAATTTTATTCCCAGCTATGTTCTTTTCGTTATTCTGGAATTTTTTCATGTTTGTTAGCGCCTGATCTCCCATTTGTGTCATACGCAATGATGTTGTGTCTTTATGTTTCCCGAACAGGCCTTGAAACGGTTAAATTGAGTAACGCGAACCGTAGCTTGGAAATAATTTGATGAAATTATATCAACTATATTAATAAATAGTGTAAATTTTATTTTATATTACCCATTTAATTATATATACGTTAAGACATGAATGATCAAAATTTTCATTTTAATATTGCTGAAATATGGTTCTATGTAACTTCTGTTTTAACATATTAAAATTTTCTGTTGTGTTTTTTTAACTACCCTGAATGAATCAACTATTTTTTTTTTTGTATATAAAACGTAATATTAACAAGAAACTTCTAACAAAAATTTCCATATGAATAATTGACAAACATTGAGTATGACGTAATATTAAAAAGGAAATGCCATGAAAACTTTTTCATATAAAACTTATTTAATTAAATGAATCATTGAACATAATTTATATCCTTATTATTTTAATTTTGGAGTATCTTTAAAAATAATAGTCCCGGTTTTTTTTGAATGATGTGGTTTTGTATGTCTATTATAATGGTTGTGTAAGTTATTTGTTTTCATGTTCTTAGGAAAATATTGAATGAATCACATATTTCAACACTTTCTTGAATATTCATAGATTTGATATAAAACATTAGTAATGGGTAATATCATATTATTTTTGTATACATCTTACTTATTATTAAAAAATAATTAAAAAGCAACAAGATTCATTATTTTGAACAATTTTAAATATAATAAAATAAGTACAATACTTAACTAGATAGTTAAGTTGGATCTACCTATATAAAACTACTTACGTAACCAAAATTAAACAAGAAATTGATCAAAAGTCAACTTACGAGCATGGATTTAATGAGAAGTAATTATGATTCGATCATTTAAGATCTTTTAAAATAAACAACTTAATTTTTGAGATGTCTATTTAAAAAGTCCCCAGAATCTTAACTTAATGTCTTTAATATTTATGTTTTTTAATAAATAAATAATCTTTATTATTGAGACAGTGTATTTTCCAAAAGACATTCATTCAATATTAGTTAGTTAATCTTCAATCTATTATTATTTAAGCACAAAACGATTTGTTAACTTGCACCTGTGAAATAGTTGACTGTTTTACAAATACTACACATCAATTTCCTTGCTTTTTAATACAAATAGCTGATGTGCAAAACTCGCTTGAATAGTTTTTAGATAAATGGTCTAAAAGATTAATGATTCTACACAAAATAGGCCGATACTAGTTTAAATCTAAATAAACTCAAATGAAAACTTGAATTTATTGCTATTAAAGAATAAATTACAATTATAATTTCTATGATTTTTTAACACAAAATTAAATATACAATTTAAATTTTAATAATAACTCTTTACATATTAATCTTTCTTGGACTAAAACCTAGAATCTTATTTTCTAAAGTATATTAAATAAAGTTTGTGCAAGTTCATTGATATTTTGTATATATCGTTCAGAAACACTTTATTTTGAAAAAAATTATCAATTGTCGATGATTTCGAAATGTTTGTGTTATGCTTCGGTTTCATCATGTCGGTAATCTGTAGGAGCCCATCTGGTTTTACTCTGTGTACTGTTTCACTTTTATTTTCTGTACTAAATTTCAGCGCATTAATAATAGTTATCGGTCGTGGGAACCAGTGTAAATTTTCAACTATTAAGGTAAAGAAGGACAATATCCAGACTGACTACCAACAATATGAGTGAATAATATAAATACAATTATAAAATTTTTTTAAAAGCAAATATAAAATATAAATTCCTAAAAAATATATGGAAAGCAAATTGTAAATTTTAAAGGTTCTCAAAGGTGTGAGGTGAATAAATTACTTATTAAATTTTGTATATTTAATGGCAAATGTTTACATTTTAGCTCGTAATAGTTCAATAAATGGCTATTGGCTAGTGAAGCTTGTTTGGCATATGTCATAACTATATGTCTGCTGATCGCTCTAGTTAAGTTAAAAAAGGAATCATATATATATATATATAAACAAATACAAATGTAATTATAAACAATCAAGTGCGTACATTTATATAACATTATTACAGCCTAATGTACCCTTGAGAAAACTTCTTAATCGTGCGGTTTGTGATGTATCTTAATTATCCGTATAATTTTTATGAGAATCCGTTTAAAAGTGTATCGCTGTCATGCAATGAATAGATAAAAATCACTTTGTTCGTAAATCGGTTGAGGTGTCAAGTGTTATTGGACAATACAGAGTGACGATCGCCTATGAATATAATGGACCTCCTGTGTGTTTAGAAATTCATTAATCTTCATCCGGCGTTTCTCAAACGGTTTCACACGTTTGGTATGGGCTTTCTTGATTAAGAGAAAAATGACGTAAAGTGAAACATTGGCACCTATTATCCTAATGATTTCAATAATTACCCATCATAAAATAATTATTCATTCTCTTTCTTCCTAAAATAAATTGCCGAATAAATTGTTTTTTCTAATCACAATTTCTAAAGAAAATTATTATTATTTCATTGAGAAGTTTTAATTATACAAAACAATTATTTTATTACGAATTCAATAAAGGAAGTATTTTAAATAAAATTTGTTGTACTATATTTTTTAAACCAAAATGAAGAGGCTAATTGGTATTTCTCAGTTTTTAACGCGATTAATTTGATTATGTAACACAAATGAAAAGAAAATATTTGAAAACGAACCAAAGAGTAAAATGGAATAAAATAGTTATTGCAAAGTTACATAGTTGCAATAGTTCTATAGCTGATATAACTCGATTTCTCTTAAAATAACAATTATGTTTAGAAAATTAATATTGGTATTTTTTATTTTCATATAATTCTCGTTTTATCATTTATTAATTAATTTTTTATTTCATCCCTTATTAGAGGGTCATATTATTTTTTTTAAATGGCAACACTAATATTTAATTGTTTCATAAGATAAAATTGATTTAATAAGACATTTACGGATCAATAACAACTTTTGGACCAGTACTTTGAATGTTATTAGCATTTTTATACCTTGGCGAGAGGAAAGGTGCGGCCGCCGATAAATGTCTAATAATAAATATTGTCACCATACAATAATAATGGTGAAACCTTCCGGAATCAAAAGTGGTCATCGACCAGTCATTTTCTTAATTAGATCATTTTTTTTATTTTAGAAGCTAGTTAAATATATATGTTTCCATTTTTTAGAAAATTAATTTGACACTCTTATGAGGGTGTCAAATAAAAAAGTAATTGATAACTGATAAATTAAGAATTATATGAAACTAAAAATACCCTAAGTAATTTTTTTTAATAACTATTATTTTAAGAGAAATTGAGTGGCTAGCATTGCAAAAATTAACTTTATATATTCATATTTATTTTTGTTCTGATCAATCTTGTTTTATCGTTATATTGTCAATGAAGTAGATCAAAGTTTTCATTATTGGAAAAAAATTCATATTTGTTTTTATTACTAAGTTTATTGTTTTATACTTTGTAAGTTCTCTTTATTCAAAAAGTATTTTTTTTAACAAAAAATGTTTTTCACAGTTTAATATTTTTAATCAATTATAAAGGAACGGTAGAAGAGTGTTCTCCAATAGATGTCCCGCAATAATGTTCACTGGTCTTTTTGGTTCATATTTTTGTTATCTATTAAAAAATATATTTACC